AGAATCTATCCCTTCCATTTTTTTCCTGCTTCTTCAGGTTGGGGGAAAATATTGCTTTCATTTAATTTTTGTTAGGGACACCAGAGTGAAGAACTACAGTGACCACAGGAGCATTGTTCTGAAGGTAACACTGGACTGTATTTGTTCGTTTATTCGTTTTTTCATTCATTCATTCAGCCAGTGTTCCCTGAATGCCCACTGTGTGCCAGAACCCAGAGACACAGATGAAGGAGGCTGTGTGGGCCCTGCCATGAATTGAAGTGCAGTTGATAAGGAAGGCCATGAGGACATCCATGTGCGGGGCCAAGGTGTGGATGGGGCACTGAGAAGGCCTTGGGGAAGGCTTCCTGGGGCAGGTGACACCTGGGCTGTATTGTCAGTCAGTCACAGTTAGTGTAGCAAAGGGAAAAGCATGGTCTGGATCCAGGCATGAGCCTGAACAAAGGCCTAAGGGCAAGTTATAATCCAGGGTGGGTCCAGGGAGCCACAGGTGGTCCAGACCCATGGCAGCATTCGGGGCTCAGAGCAGGGCTCTCTGTCTACGTATCCTCCCCACGACATGCTGTCTGGGGCAGATCCCAAGGGTGAGTCCTTTCTCAAGCACCCCTTCTACTCCCTCCCAGCCCAGCTAAGCCAGAGTAGGGATGGGGCAGAAGCTAGCAAGCAAGGGCCCTCCACTCTGAAGATTTGCTTCCACTGACCAGACTGTCACCTCTAAACAGTGAACCCGCCTAGGGTCATGTGTGCCCTCAAGCCAAAGGTGACCACAGGAGGGGCCTTCTCTGCTATTGGGCAGATTTCACCGGATGAGTGTTTGAGGAAGTAGGACCATTCCAGCCCCTTCCAGCCGAAGCCCCAAGAAGCATCAGACCAGCCACCCTGAGGTTCCAGGAGAGGTCCCCATGGTCTAAGAGGGGTGTATACATCTGTCTAGAGATACCTAGCAGACCTACACCTACAGTTATCCACCTGGTTCAAGCCAGCCCTCACCAGCGCAGGACCAAACTTCCTGTAGGACAAGGGCAAGTAAGAGTCATTCACTCATTCACTCATTCATTCATTCAACACTAAATATGCACCAGACCTGTGCTAGAGGCTAGGAAGTCAGAGATGAGTTGGATACAGTTCTGCCCTCAAGGTGTGCCTATGGTTAGTGGGGAAATGGACACTTAATAGAGAGGTGACACTCTGCAATGTGCTAGGAGCTCAGAGCCAGGAGCCAGGGGAGGTTCTGGACAAGGCATTTGCATCCATGTCTTAAAGGATGAGGCTTTCTAAGCAGAGGGATGAGACTCGCTGCCAAGTCTCCCCAAAACCAAGAGAAATCCTGTATCTGAGCCCTGCCATCTCTTCTTTTCTCCCTGGGCTTCCCTCCCTCCCCCCAGTTTCCTGAGAGCCGGACATTCCTGCAAACGGCCTGAGCTGTCCCCACCCAGCTCTCAGCCTCTATCACCCAGAGCTAGGAACAGCTGTGCTGCAAGGGGCATCTGGGCCAGCCCAGGCCTGTCACACAATGGTGTGCCACCCAGCAGGGGAAGTCATTGTACAGCCTCGGCCCTCTGCCTAGCTCCAGGCTTCAGGCAGGGAGGCCAGGCTTGGGGGAGGGGTCTACGTGGCAGGCAGAGAGGGCCCTGTAAGAGGAAGGGCTGGGCCCCGGGAGGAAGCACGGAAGGCAACTGGGAGGTCAGGCGCTGAGCCCCAGCTGCAGGGGGATGGGGAGGAGGAGGGCCTAAGGGAGCCTCTCTGCCATACGAATCACAGGCAGCAGGTTAGACAGCCCAGATCACCAACCCTGGATTCTCAGGCTGGTGGGTTCTGCAGAAGACACCTGTCCAGGCCGAAAGACAAAAAATCTCCCACCACCCACTTCCAGTACAAGAGTTACCAGCAACAGCCTCCTGAAAGTCTGTGAGCAGGGGATACTGCTCTTGGCAGCTCATCTCATAATTTTAGGGCTGAGGGCTCTTATGTTGATTAAAGCTGGACCCTGCTGCTGTTTGTGAAGGCTGCTTCCCCTGGCTTCAGCTCAGGAACCCCCAGCCTGGCCCCCTCCCTGTGCTGCACGCCAAGTAAGCCGACCTTCTCTGGCCCAGCATGATTAAATTCAGGCCCTTCCAGTAGCCCTGCTTCTTGATAATGTTCTGCAGCTGCTCAAATGCTACACATGCAACTGACTTGGTTCCTCCAAGAGACCCTGGGGCTCTGTGGGTAGATAAGTTTCTCCCTTCCCCATCCCCTCCTGCAAGCAAGCTGGGTACGTGGGCCCCCATGCCCACCAGGAGTCATGTGGCTTCAGGGCTGCCAGGCAGAAAGGGGAGTGAAAAGACTGATGTGGAAGGAGCAGAGCCTCTGTTTGTGGGCTTGTGGGCACAGGTTCATCCCCCAGGGCCCTGGTATGTACTGTTAGCAAGTCCAAGTCCTGGCCTGTAATGCCACTCGCTTCAGTGAAGAGGAAGGAGCACAGGCCTGGGAAGCAGGAGACCCAGGCTTTAGTCCAAGTTCCACATTCACTTGTGGCAAGATAAAAACCTTTTCAAACTTGTTTCCCTATAGGTTAAATAGAGACAGTATAACCTCCCAGGATTTTCAGGAAGGAGGAGATCAAAGAAGTAATAACACACATGACAGTGTTTTGGAAAGCACAGAGTATAGAAGAGGCAAAGATGTGGAACACATACTGCCCTTCGCTGTCCTACGCCCAAGACAGACATTGCTAGCTGATGTCAGCACTGTCTCATTAGGCTATATTGATACTTCAGAATCCCTCTTAACACACATTCCAGGGAGATATACTAATAGACCAGAACTGCAAAACAAAATGAAACCTCTGCCCCTTGGCCTGCAAGAACTCAGGGCATTACTGCTGTTGAGGAGATCCCACCATGCCCAGACAACGCTGCTGGGAACTAGAGCTCGTTGAAAGTCAGAGGTGGCCCTGCCGATTGTGAGTGGTCCAGAGAACAGAACCCTGGCATCCTAGTTTGACCCATCACCCATGGTGTTGTGCATCCGTGGTCAACTTTGCAACCTGGTCCAAAGGGCAGGTTGTTATTGGACCCCCACCACAGAACCCACAGAATAGTTAGGTAGACACAGGGTCCATGCAGAAGGGACCATGCAAAGCAGGTACAGTGAATGCCCAGTGAAGGGGCTAGGTGGTCAGTGCGCTCAGTGGGCTGGGACAAACGCTCATGTGGGCTGTGTGAGTGCTGGCTTCTCAAGAGGACTTTGCACCTAGCATCCTGGCTGGCAACCCCAGTTCCTCTTTCTGCCACTGTTGTTCTCTTTGAGTTCCCTGAGCAAATCTTAGCCCAACCTCCAGCATAGTCAGGCCAGCCCTGGAGAGCTCTAGCTGACACCCAGGAAGGCCTCTTCCAGGAGGCAGGGTGACAGTGCCCACGCTGGGGTGGAAGGTGACAGGGCCCCTGCAGCCTCCAGCCCCACCACGTCCTCCCAGTTCCCCCGCCACAGAGCACACCCTGAAGAAGGGGAGGCACTAGCCCCTCTGTCCCAGGCTGCTGGTATAGGTGGGAGCTCTGGCCAGGTAGCAGTGAGAGCAGCCCCAGGGCTGGTCTTTTGAGAAGCAGGCCCCAGTGTTTCTGCACACCTGCCCTAGTGCCCATCACCACAGACCCCCAGGCAGGGCCAGCCTGATCCAACAGCAGCATCTCCACAGGCCTCTGTGGTGTGTTTTCAGAGAGTGTCAATTCCATTCTCTTAGCCTCTCCCTTTGTGGGAATAAAGGCAGGAGGCCTTTATTAAATGTGAACATCGGGAGATATATCACAGGTCCCCCAATTCCTGATACATCTCTTAACGATGACTTAGTGCTTTAAAGCACGAATTTCCCTCCCAGGGCTGCAGATGGTGCCGTGATCCATGTGTCCTGCCTCAGTCCCACCCTGCGCAGAGGCCAAAGTGCTAGCGGCCCCGGGGCTCCCCCCAGCCCCCTGGAGGCAAGCACCACGTACTTGCTGCTCTCCTCTGATCCAGGCACCTCCATCGGCAAGCACTGAACTGGGGCCTGTAGGGCTCAGCCACCAGGGCTGACATCTGCAGAGGCACTACCAGCCCAGGGCCAGCACGGAGGGACACCTTGGCAACCTGCCTCTCCCTGCCATGTCAGGGAGGGCACTTTGTCATGGATAAAGATGGAGCCTGGAGCTCAGAGTAAATTTTACTGAAAACAGGAAACCACGAAGCCGAGGTGCATTCACTAGTAAAGGTCCAGAGACAAGAGCTTGAGGCCATGCAGGAGGAAGCTGGGGAGGAAATGTGGTGGCTTTCTGCTCTGGGGCCTCCTCCCTCTCTCTATACAGAGGCAGCTGGGCCTGGGGTATGGCAGCCAGATTCTTAGAAGTTGTCTCTGTCTTGAGGTCAGAAGCTGGGGTCTGGGCCAGTGTAGCCTCCCCATTGCACAGGAACACTCTTTCTGAGCTGGGAGACAGAGTCTGGTCTGTGGGCATGTCCTGCAAGCCTGGGTGGAGCCTGGCCCTGACCCAAGCAGGTGTCACCCTCCCCATCCCTGCCCACTAGGCCCCCACAAACTGTGAGAACAGCACCCTCTTTCTGTGGCAGCTGGCACTGAGTGTCCATGGCAGCGGGTGAGAATAGAAGAGTGGACCCCCTGGGACAAAGCAGGAGCCAGGGTTCAGGGTTCTGGCCGCTGGAGGTGTCAGTGTGGTCTTGAGGCCAGAGGCCCACACTCACCCTCTCCGCAAGGCCCCCAGGCACAGCAGGAGGCCCACACTGGCCTACAGCCTTGGGCCTGAGAAGGGAGCTTGGAAGCAATGTCATGCAGCCGGGGGACTCCTGGGCTTCAGCTGCAGGCCTTGGTTGTCAGCCCCAGGCCCAGCTCAGCAGAGCCAGCGTAGGCAGCTGGCAGATGAAACGCCTAGTTGAAAAGATGCCCCCCGCAGTGCGGTGCCCTGGGGTCCTGCCCAGCTCCAACAGGCCCCACCTCCCGTTTTCACCCCAGAGTGTACAGAGATACTCCTCTCTGTGCTTTAAAACCTTTAATCAAAATTCCACAAAGGACTCCCTTCATATATGCGTATAAAACAAACCCAGGTCATGCCCTGAAGCAGGAGATGGGAGGAGAGCAGACACAAGCCTTTCTATGGACGTGCCCGCTCCTCCCACCTGACAGGGTCACTCTGCAGTGAAGGCTCAGCACTGACTGAATGGAGAGGACTAAAGACTGGTGGGGGGGGGGGGTCGGGGAGGAGGGCTCCCTAGGCCTCAGGCACCTCGGAAGCAGAGCAGGGATTGAACAGTCCCTTACAATCCATCCACAGGGTTGGCACTGCTGCCCACGTAGTTGTTAATAGCACGCCCTCTTCCTCCTCAAAAGTGTCACAGTTCAGGCAGTACATTATGTGGTCACCATCTCTCTTGACTACATGGAAGAGGGGAGGTGGAGCCCTCTCTGTTACCTTCCCAGCAGGCCCCACTGGCTCGCCCTTACCCCCATCTGCGGTGAGTAGTGCAACCTCTAGCCTGGTTCCCATTGCCCAAGATGCCAGTTGGCTCACAGTGACCACCGTGCCCCAGTGTGTACTTCCTGTTTGGGGGCCTCTGGCCAATGGGCTCTGGGGACCGGAGTGCAGGCGGTGAGAGCCCCAGATTTGCTTAACCTGTTGACAGATCCTCAGAGAGTTTGCTGGCAGGAGGCAGCTGTGGAAGGCTCCCATGGCCTGGGGCCAGGAAGGCCCAGCCCCAGAGCCCCAGGGTTACAAAGAGTGGGTCTGACAGATGCACAGCCCCAGGCAAGGTGGGAGAGCTGGTCCGCCACAGTTGGGAGGAGTCTCTCCACATCCTGTCCTGTGTCTCTTGCCTGGGAGGATAGCACTGGGAGGTCTGCCCGGAGCCCAACTATGCTGTCCGGTCCCAAGGCTCATGTCCCAGGGAGAGAAGCTGCCACAGAGCTGGCAATTCTGGGATGTAGGTCATTTAGCACAGTAGCTGGTGAATTTCCAGTCTCTGGAGTCGGATCTCAGCACCCCAGCATCCTTGAGACAGGAGTTGAGCAATCCAACACCTCCCTTCTGTTGTGTAGCATCCAGAGGGGTTGAGGGTCTGGCCATCAGGGGAATCTCAGAGTCTGGGCTTAGAGCAAGAAGGAGGAAACCAGGGCCAAGGCCAAGGGACCACTCAGAGGGCCAGCCCTGCCTTAAATGCACCTGCCCCAGGCCCAGCCACAACGGCCCACTGGCCCCCGGCTGGTCTAGATGGCCTCAGAGTTTGGGGAGTCAGGAACAGGGTCTGCAAAAAACAGGAGAAGCAGAGTGAAGGGGGGAGTTCCTCTGTCCTTCATCCCCCAACCCCACACCATGAGGCTGTGAGGACTTCCCAGGAAGGGTAGGGAGTGAAACTCCTGCCCTGCAGGCCATGGAGAGGTCATGACCTTGCAAGCCATCATGCTGTGAAGGCGGAAGAAGCACCAACCTAGGGAGGGGAAGAAGACATCCCCAGGGCCTGGCGGAGACAGAGGAGTGTTGGGTTCAGAGAGCAGGTGCCGCCCAGACTCAGAAGGCTGCCGCTGGGCCACGTAGGACAGTGGGGGCCTGGGTTTGGCCTCCGGCATCCTCTGGGAGGGTGGAGAGATCTCAAAGCCAGGATTTTCAATTCCTTGAATGTTGCTGCTGGAAAATCAGAATTGAAGGTTATCTGTGCTGCATGGGACTTGACCTCCGCCCTCCCCACCAGCCCCACTTCTCTGCTCCCTTCTCCTCACCTGCCTTCCCACCCAAGCCACAGCAGGAAGGGAGGATCTGGGACCAGAGAGAAAGGCCACGGGCTGCACTCTCCCACCTGCCCTGAGCTGAGGGCATGTGACCCCCTTTTTTTTTTTGTAGGGGAAAGTGTGTTTGCTAGGCTTTCATGACCTATCCTGATTTTAAATCTAATCTAGAAATAAGAGCATGATTTATATTAGGCAACAAGCATTGGCGAATTTTACAAAAGGGTGATCACATAAGGGGCTTGCTTGTTCTCAGTGTTCAGGAGACACACTGCAAAACCTCTCCGGGCATCCCGAGCGTTTTCAGATGCTCCACCAGGGAAGTCAGATTTCTGTTACTACATATGTTAAATGTGGGGATAAGGCGCTATGAAGTGGCTGCCCATCGCAGAAACAGGGTTCATGTAGGGTTTCAGAGGACATGCTCAACAAGGGTCGTAGCACAGCCCCAGCCGGCCCACTGCACCCCCTTGACCCTTCTCTCAGTGCAGTTCTTCACCTAGCTCCACCCTGTGGTCTGACCATCTGCCCCAGGCCCAGGCAGGAAGCCCAAGGTCAGGCACTCAGGACACTGGCCTCAGGAATCTGGGGACAAGTCTTTCTTTGGTCAGTAGAGTTAATAGCATTAGGACTGGATGTCCCCACAGCTTGTCTAGAGCTGAAGGGGAGGCATTCTCTTCCCCTCTTCCTGCTTGGGAGTAGGACAACGTCTGAGGACCCTTCCCACTTTGAGATTCTAGCAGGATTGGTAGCAGGACTTCCTGTGACCAGTCTTGAAACACCCTTTCAAACACCCAGGGGAGCTCTGAATCTGGCATTGCCGGTACTGGGGCCAAGTTCCTAAGTGTGGCTCATTCCCAAGCATCCCCTGTGTGCTAGGCTCCCTGCCAGCTTCCTGCCCAGAGTGCACCCACACATGTTCCCTGTCTGTTCCATCCCCAACCTGCCACCCTGCTCTGAGCCCCAGTCAGCCTCTGCCTTTGTGGTTTGCAGTGGCCTGACAGCTTTCTCCTTGGGGCACTGTGCTGAGAGAGGCCACAACTCCAGGTGTGCTGGCCTCCTTTGCATGTTTCAGTGTCTGTTCAGGCTCAGCTGCTTCCCCCCGACTCCCCCACGCCAGCCTGGCTGACCACTGAGGCCCAGAGGTGGGTGCGTTGCTCATCCAGGCAGTGTTGGAGCTCAGCCTGCTGGGTGGGGAGTGGCAGGGAGAACAGCCCATCGGCACAGATGTGTCAGCCTCAGTGGCAGATGGCAAATGCTCTTCTAACCAGTTGTGCCAGGCAGCTAACCAGGGGCCCTACTGCAGAGAACTATCTCTTTCCTGACAGCTGGTCCAGGGCCCAGGAAGGATCAGGATGCCATCAGGGAGGCCATATCTGTGTTCTCAGCCCTAACCAGTGACCACGGAGGAGAGGAGAAAAGATCCTGGTGAAGGCAGGAGAGTAGATCTGTCCTGGCTAATAGCTCCCCCTCCCCCTTATGCATTAACTGCTGCATAAATAGTTCGGATGTAGACGCTAACCTACAAAGACAGCAGTCCAGGGAGAGGCAAGAAAAGAGAGAGCCTGCCAAGCCTTGAGTCAGGGTGAGGGCAGCTGTGGGAAGGTCTCCAGGGCCTTACCTGTCCATCCGCACCAGCTCCTGGGCACCTAAGGACAGACAGACAGAGAAGCTAGTCAGAAAGAGAAGGCTTCCCCAGACAGTATCGCTGCCCTCACTGGCCGATGCCCCTGGGGGAGCAGGAGCAAGCCCGGGCAGGGCCGTGCTCAGTCCCGGATCCTACTTCCATTGGCTCAGGAAGCCCGAATGGCAGTTCTCTGCGTGTCTACCCAGCAGGTGAGGCCTCCGTAAACAGCTCAGTTTGACCAAGGATAAGTGAAATTTGGACTGCATTTTACAAGTATATAGGAAAACATTTGTTACCAGGAGACCAAAGGCAGCCAGTGATTACTCCTAGGGCTTAACTTGGTGATATTAGGCATTCAGGACCAACCAAAGGCCTGCCTCCAGAATTTGCTGTTTGGAAATCTGTCACGTTCTGGTGGTCACCCATGATTTACTGTGTGGGAGTGTTGCAAGATCACTTCCTAATTAGAGTTCCTGGTCCTCTGTCCCATCCTCCACATTGCCCAATAGTGTGGCTTCCAAGGCAACATTTCTTAGACGAACCATAGGGGGCCTCAGACCCCTTCACTTCTCAGCCATTCTGCTACTCTCTACTTTGCATCTAAACTGCTGTCATCCTGCCCCACTTTTGTAGTTCCCCACCCCCAAACCGACCAGATGCAGCGACCCCAACTTCCCTCTTTCTTGCAGCTCCCCCACGTACTCCCACAGATTCTTCTCGTTTTTTTGAGAGCTTCCCTGCTGATTACGATGAGGAAACAAGCACTAGGGGAGGGGCACAATAACAGAACCCCCAGGAGGAAGTTGCACAAAAGTTCCTGAAATCTCTGAGGTATCGGAATCATGGCTCCTTGTTTACTGGGCGACTGCGTCAGGCTCCATGCAGGTCTCCACGTTCCCTCAGTTCCCCTCTCCTCTGCCCAAGGGAAACCGAGTCCCCGTCTAATACAAGAGGGTTTGCTACACCCATTGCCTCCGCACTGCCTTCCTCAGTGCTCCCAGTCCTCTTTCTCTCTTTTTGTCCTGCCCAGACTGCACCACACACACTCCCCATCCACTCCATCCCCAACCTGCTGCCCCGCTCCAGGCTGCTCAGCCTCTGCCCTGTGGCCAGACTCCTGGCACTTCTGTTCCCATAATTCCAGTAACTGCTCTTGTAGAGTCTAGATCAAGAAAAATGACCCGAATCTCCACTCTCTGTCCATTTTGTACCTAGTTTCTCTAGCATCGTCCCCCCTGGCATCTCTTGTGTCTGTCTCTAAGCCTTCGATTATACAAATCATTTTTCCTTCTTCTTCTTCTTCTTTTTTCTTTTCTTTTCTTTTTTTTTTTTTCTTTTGGAGAGGGCAGGGGACTGGCCTCAAAAAATTTTTATTAGATAAATTATTGATACCTTTCTGTTACCACATATATTAAATCTGGGGATAAAGTACTGTGATAGCCACCCATTACAGAAACAGGGTTCATGTAGGGTTTCAGAGGATGTGTTCAACACTGGTCATAGCACAGCCCCAAATGGCCCACTGCACACCCTTGACCCATCTCTCAGTGCAGTTCTTCAGCATCCAGCTCCTCTGTCCCCTCCTCTGGGAAGCCCTCAGACTTCAGGTGTCCCAATGCTTGGAGTAGGAGATACTGTGTGCTGACCCCAGGCTCTCCATGTCCTAAGGACACACCCACAGCGTTTTGGCCTGGGGATGTCCCCTCTGATTTTCCTCCCTCCAGCCTGGGACATGAGCAGAGTCTTGATCCAATCCCTGGGGACCCTGAAAGGAATGCTGTGAGGCACCAAAGCCCCCTGCCCCTACCCAACACCAGCCTCTGCCTGGAATTTGTTTCCCAGTTCCTGCTCCCTGATGGAGTTAGCCTTGTGGTCTGGAGTAAGGGGGCCAGAAAGCACCTCTTTATCTGGGAGCCAAGCCTAGCTGGGCACGTCTCCCTCCTCGTCCCTTCCCCATCTCTGTGGAAGTGCCACAAGGATGAGCAAGGGCTGACCGCAGGCTAACCACAGCTCTGCAGCAATTTCTCTCCCTGGTTGAGCCCCTGGTTTCCTCTTTCTGCTCCAAGCCTTTTACCCTCCCCTACCCCCAAACACTCTGGGGTGTTTCTGTAGATAGGCTGCCCTAGGGTTTTGTGAGAGGAATAAGGGCATCCTGAGAGGAAGGGAGAGGTGGCCATAGCCCCTGAGTAACCCACAGACAGAGGCACAGAGGGGTATCAAGTTGTTACCGTCCAGCCAAAGAAGTCAGGTGTGAGCCAAAGCCACCTGGCGACAGAGCAGCGGACAGAGGGGAAGAGGTCAGGGAGGCGATGCAAAGGCCCCTACCTTCCTGCTCCTGGAAGACTAAGACTGGCCGAGGCTCAGGGGTGGGGTCAAAGGAAGGGCAAGGGGCACTGTCACCCAAAGAGACGGGCGAAAAGGTATTTGTGGCCATGACTTGAAACCTGGCTCTACCACGTCCTCACTGGGCGGTTCCTTAAGTGAGTTACTTACTCCCTCTGTGGTTCAGTTTGCTCAGCCATAAAATGGGGACAATGGTAGGATCAGACTCTTAGAGGTGTTATGAGGAGTCATGAGAGAATGTATACAGCAAGCCTGGCATGGTACCTGGCACAGCAGTCCTATGGGTTAGGGGTTGTTGGCTTTGAAGCTCATGCTCATGTGCATCTTTATTATGCAGATTCTCAGGATTATATTCCCTGAGAAGCGAGAGTTGAGAGCTCTCTGAATCTTAGCTCTGCCACTTACTGAGTTACATAACGTTTTGTTAGTTATTTAACCTGGCTGATCTTTGGTTTCTCACCCATTATCTGAACCAAACTGTCTCCAAGATCCCTCCCAGTTCTGAAAATCCAAAGGTCATTTTGTCCCAAAATTACTACCAAAACAAGCCTACCCACACATTAAATCAGGTCCCCAAAGATCTCCAAGTTTCCACATTTTTATAAACCAATTTGAGCTACTCCATATGATTAGTCAGTCATTCAGCAGATATTTATTGAGCACCAAGGCAGCACTGCCAGGGGCTGGTGGGCACTCACACCCTAGAAGTGGCACACCTGGGTCTCCTCTCTCCACCACGGAGCCCAGCTCCTTGCAAGGACTGTAGCAGCTCCTGTCTCTTGAAGAGCAGAATTATGCCTGTCTTTGGCCTTTGGAGCTGACCAGGGGGCTGGGGCAGGTCACTCACACATAACCCAGACAGGCAGGGAGGAAAGGGATACTCACGGCGGTTGGAAGCCACCTGCCTTTGCTTGTAGACCAGGAGCAGGATGAGGGGGAGGCAGAGGATGCCCACGATGCAGGCGCTGGTAGCCAGGGCGGCAGCCGTAATGCCTGAAAGGACAGAGACGCAGCCCAAGTGAGGCCCCATTACCACTGTTCCTCTTGAGGGGAAGCTGAAGCCCACAGATGAGGCCAGGGAGCAGGGGGACCCATCTCTATCCAGGCCCCACAGCCAGACCCTCAATAACTCACAGAGGCATGAAAGGTCTGGGGACCCCAAGGCGGGCCAGAGCACCCAGAAATTAGGCCAGACGCTTACAGCTGAGGCAGCTCGAGGGAAGAGAGAGAAGGGTCCTCATCCCAGCCCACTGGGAACAGCTTGACCACCCTGGGCTACAGGTGGTTCCCTAAAAAGAGAGAGACCCCATGCCACAGAGTTCAGGGTCAAAAGGAGCCCAGGTGATGAAAAACTTTTGGAAATAGTGGTGATAATTGCACAACATTTTAAGTGTAATTAATGCCACTGAGTTGTATACTTACAGAATTTGCCATTTTAACCTTTTTTATTATATATGTCTTATCACAATAAAAAAATGAATAAAAAGCCCTATTTATCCCCTGAGAGATTCCTTAGTTCCAGAACAGGGCCTCTGAAAATGATCTCACATGTATAATTCACAAGGAAAAAAGCTTGGGGTGAGAACTAGGGAAATGTGAATCCTTGCCCAACATTTAAAATTTTTTTAAACCTTATAAATGACAAAAAAAAAGTACAAGTTAAAAAAAATATTCAAAAGTTTCCTCCTCCCCCTCTTCCTGGGCCCCCTGGAAAGACATAATCACTGTCTGCAGTTTTCTTGTGTATAGTCTAGATACACCGTCTGCATATACAGCATATATGGGGTCACGTGACAAGTGCTTTTCCCACTTAGCACAGCGTGGACACCTCTCTGTATCAGCACTGAGATCCACTTTATTCTGCCTAGGGCTTCATCACATAGCTCACCCCAAATTCACTGAAACAGTCCCCTATTGGTGGGTATGTAGGTTGTTTGCATTTTTCAACATAACTAATAACGTAGCAGTGAACTCCTCACGTAGGCATCTTTGCTCACTGGGGCAAGTACATCCGTACATAAAACCCTAGTCGTGAAAGTGCTGAGCCAAAGCATATGTGTATTTTCTTTCAGGCTATTGCTAAATTGTCCTCCCCCAAAAAGTTGTACCACCTCACGATCCCACCAGCAGCATGGGAGGTTTGATTTATTTCAGTCCATCTGCTGACTCCAGGAGTTTAGCTGGGAACAGACGTGCCCTCAGAACCACAACCAGCGTAAACGCATTTCCTTCCCAATTTTAGCCCTTCCCTCTGACCAAGAAAGATGGGCTGGGATACCTTACTTGGCCCCAGGGAGCTTTGGAAAGGTGGACAGGCCTCAGTGTTGCCTTTGCACTACTTATTTGGGAATAAAGGCTGTTTTTATATCTCATTGTGTTGCTGAACAACCCAGCGGTGTAAACAAGCTTTCAGGGGTTTGTTCATACCGAGGAAGAGAACAAGCTGTTTTCAGGCACTTTAGAAGTACCCGCTGGTACAGGAACAGTTGCTGTGCTCATTACAAAGCAAGTTCAACTCCACATTAAAGCAGGTTCCCCGCAGATCTTAGCAAGGCTGCACTTTGACGTGGAGTACTGAAAGTAAAATAGTCTATAATTCAGACATTTGAGTATCTCTAAACCCCAACACAGGACCTTATTGTGGGCACGGAGAAGCTGGCTGCAAAGCGCTCTTATCTGGTCATCAAAGCAGGTCTCTTCTGGACTGGTACTGAGCAGCATTTGGTGTAGTCAGTCAGTGACCACTGAATCCGGCTCCCTGTCGGCTTGGCGCAGCCTCTCTGCCTGACTGCTGTCCCCAGGCAAAGACTCCCTGTTTGTGGCCCTGCTATGGGATCAGGACTTGGTTTCCTTACAACTTGGGCTGGGAGTTGAGGCTAGGGCCAAGAGACAGGGGTCTGGGGACAGCTCTGTGGACCAGCTGCCCTCTGAGGCAACAGGCTCCACTGCAGAACGCAGCCTCCCCACTCCTCTCCATGAATGTGGCCAGTCCCTGGGGGGTCGGGGCGGGAGCATAGCCACCAGAGCCAGGCTCTTGCTGAGGAGGTGATCAGGCACTGGCAGAGGCAGCTGCCTGGCCAGCACCAAGCAGTGTGCCAGGCCCTTACACAGCTGGGTGGGATGGGAGGGCCTGGCCTGCTCAGTAAGTCTTTGTCCTGGGCTTGCCAGCACCCCGAGGGTGTATATGGAGGAGGGAGTTCCGTGACACTGCCTGGTTCCCCAGGAAGACAGTTGGATGAAAGCAAACCAAACATCCTGCTATACTGGAGGCTGGGGAGGCTGCATCTCAGGGAGATGGGCTGCCCAGCCCCCTTTCCTGGATTCAGTGAAAAACCACAGCCCCTCAGCAATTCAGGGCTCCTTGGGTACCACCTTCCTCAGTCCTACTCTTCTCTTGTCACCTCCCCTGCTGCCGGAAGCCGATGTGGGCATTCAGATGATTTCATAGACCAACTCCCCTCCTACTTCCCAAAGATAACATTAGGAGACTGGGGCTGCAGTTAGAGAAGGAAAATTCAAAGAGCTTCTTGGCTGTAAGTGTCATGAACTGATCAGGTGCCAAGGCTAGCTGTGAGACACCTGTCTTGCAGCAGGGACTGGGCTCTTTCCAAAGGGCAGTGGGGGGCAGTACCCAGTAGCCAGCCCTGGGGCCTACTAAGCACATGGGTCACCAGGCACTTGTTTCTAACCATTAGAAAACAGGATGTGTATCCACTGTCCACTGCCATCCACTTGCCATCCTGCCTTGGCACAGGGGAAAGGATGAGATGACTCATGAAGCCAGACCTAGAATTCTGCATTAGAAATAATAATAGCTAGCAGGTACATAGCACTTACTTGGTGCCAGGGATGGTTCTTAGGGCTTTCTTTACATAGTTACCCATTTTAGCCTCATAACAACTGGGAGAGTATGATTATAAACATCACTTCCATTTTATAGATGAGAAAACTAAGGCACAGAGAGGTTAAGCACCTTGGCTTATTTCCGAATCTGTGCTCTTAACCACTTCACTGTACTGCCTTTCACCGGAATGGAATCAAGTTGCAAATATGGCCAACAGAGTGCTTAATTTTTTTAAATTAGTTGCCAACATTTTAAAATTGAGAAAGTTCATGTAAAATCTGGACTTCTGGCTTTGCTTGAAAATTCAGTGGCTCTGGCAACCCTGGTCCCCTCTCCTGACGCACAGCAGTTGGAGCTGCACTTACAGATGCAGCTGCCTGCTCGCCAAGGTCTCTGTCTCTCCCTTCTGTCTCACCCACCAGCTCTCTGGCCCTGGGGGCATTTAGAGTTTTGATCCCTGACTCAGCACCTTAGGTAGCACCGATTTTCTCTCTGCTGGCAGGGGAGGGACTCAGTTGCTCCCAGTTGCTCAATGGACACATGGTGCCCAGAGAATGGAAGCACTTACCAAAGCCCCACACCCCACCCGAAAGTACAGCCAGGTTCCTTTTCATCTGAGACCACTTCCGCTTTAGTGCCAAGACTCCACCACAGCTGTAGTCTCCAGACCTCCAGAACCAAGAGTGTGGAAGGGGACTGAGAGAGGAGTCCAGAGCTCACTGAAACTATCCCCCTGCCCTTGACAACTGGGACAGAAGCAGACATGTCCCTTTGGCCCGTAAGGAGCCAATTTCCTACAGCCTATAGCTTGGGAAGCAGAGGCCAGAGTGAGGCTGCACATCCCTGTGAATTGGAGAGGAAGGAAAATGTCAAAACGTGAGAGCCGATATACCCAGCAAAGGAAACTTGACCCACTCTTAACAGTCAAGTTCAAGGTTCTGCCTCACCCTTGGGCTCTTATCAGCCAGACTCCTGGCATTTCCCAGGTGATTTCTGTTCCCTTAATTCCAGCAGTTGCTTCTCTAGAATCTAGATCAAGAAAAATGACCCGAATCTCTACTCCTCCATTTCACACCTGATTTCTTTACCATCATCCCCTCCGGCATCTCTCATCTCTGTCTCCAAGACTTAACTCACACACCTTATTCTCAGAAAATTAGCGTTTATAGAGGAGAGGGCCCCAGCACTCAGGCAGGGTTTGCACACTGAGAATCAGGCACTCTGACTTCTCCTCTTGGCTCAGGGAGTCTGAGAGACTGGGAACAAGTCCTTTCACCTGTCTGAATCTCAGTTTCCACATCTGTGAAATGGGGACAGTAGCAGAGGTGCCTGTTTCTGCAGAAGCTCCTGGAGGCAGAAGTGGGGCTAGCGGTTGCTCAGATAGATGGAGTCATGGGGAAGTGAACACTCGTGGGGCCCGCCAGGTGAGGCTCACCCGGTCCTATGCACAGGGACGTGTGTTTGCACAGTTGTGAGACTGCTGTATGGGAAGGGAGGGGCTGTTGGGGGCTCCCTCTCCACCCTCCTCAGGGAGTTGCCGGTGGAGAAAGTGAGGAAGGCAGTGGCTTGGTGCCGAGGCCACACGTGAGCTCTGTGGTGTGCAGGCAGAGGGGCTTGTTCTTAGCTCCATGTGGGTCTGGCTCAGATAGAACTGTGTGTTCTAATTTTGTTCCTGGCTGGTCCATTGTTTGGGTCAAAGAAAAAAGAATAGTTTGAGTAGAAAGTCACCACGGCCTTTGAGTAGGGCTTTGGCAGGGGCTGTAGTTGAGCTGTTCCCAGTCCTGGCCTCTGTTTTCGTGTATGTCCTCCTGGAGGGCAGGAAGGAGGCCTGCACTTTTGTACCCCTGGGGACTCAGCAGGAGCTGGTCCACACTAGATACCCTATAAACACTAATGAAGAGAAGGCTGAGGAAGCCAAGACCTTCTGCTCTCAGAAGAGGGGGTGCCCCTAAGACGTGTACCCTTTGCCTGCTGTCTCCAAGCTGCTGGACATTCTTGCCTGGCAAGTGCCCCCATCCCCTGTAGGGCATCTCTGGACCAACACCAGGGGGCTGACTGCCACCCATGGCACTGCACATCTAGGCTTCTCCCCAACCATGGGAAGAAGGTGACATTCCCAGCATGCTTCCCTCGTAGGCTGTGTGAGTTGAGGTGTTATGTCACCTCTCTGGGCCTCTGTGTCCATGTATATAAAGTGAAGATGGTGACACCTACTTCACAGGGTTCTTACAAGAAACCACTGATACTTGGAAGGACTTGGCATGGTGTCTGGCACATAGTAGGAGCTCTAGAAAAGGCAGTTCTGTTCCCTTTCTGAGCCTCTTCCTCCTCCCTCCCCCACAAGCAGAACAAAGAAATTTTAAGTAGTTGAATCCAAGCCAAGAGGATCCCCCTACACACAGCCCTCCAACCTTCCCATGTGGCAGAGGGCTGGTGGGTAGGAGCAGTGCCCACAGAAAACGAGCTCGACAGCTTGTGGCACCCAGGACCTGTCATGTTGGCCAAAGGTCACGGCCAGGGCACAGCCCTACCCAGGGAGTCAGGAGCTAGGGTTCCAGGATGCAGCTTCCTCAGGCTTTGGGCCTTAGACAGAGCATGGGCTTCTGGGGGTTGCAGCCCAATGGCTCAGGTAGAGGAGGGAACAAAAGGGAGGGGCAGCAGCAAAGGAGGAGGAATAGGGGTTCTGTGGGCTTGGGGTGATGAGGTCAAAGTTCAGGATGGGGTCTGGGTCCAGGAGGAGGACAGGAGAATAGAGAGCCCAGAAGGACCAAGAGGGTGGTTCCTTACTTTCACTCTCCTTGGAGGAGGGTGGGTACGCGATGCAGTTGGATGGTGCTTCTTCGCCTGTGGGAGCGAAGAAAAGGGTCATTAGGTGGGCGTCAGGCTCAGGAAGCCAGGGAGGCTTGTCCAGGCTGGCGTGCCTCACTTTTGTCACAAGTACTCATGCTAGTGTCCCCTTGGCAGTGTTGGCCGAGCTGGAACCTTCAGGCACATACACACATGCACGCACAAGGGCATGTTCTCACTGCACGGTCAGGCATGCCCTGCCCACTGTCGTGCCACCCCAGGGGCCTGTGGATACCTGCCCTCACCCACACCTCTGTCTAGTCCACTACCCCTTGCCTTCTCACCTAGACAGACAGACAGACAGACACACACACACACACACACACACACATGCTGCTGTGGAACTGTCATGAGCAGTCACACTCCCAGCCCAGGATCATATACCCTCTCCCATTAAAAAGTCCCACCATCATAAATAGAGCCACCTACACCCTTCCTCTCCATCACAACGAGCTAACCAGAGAGACTGAGACAGCATCCCACCCCATCTCATTCACTCACCCTGTAGTAGCAGCGCCACCCCCAACAGTCACACTGTCCTTCTCTCTGCTCACCCTTCCAGTCCAGCACAGAACCACACCCACAGGAACAACACCTCCCAGCTGTCCTGCAGAGGAAGCCCTCACCTCTCTGCACCTGCAGCTCCATGGCTCCATAGACCCGCTGCTCTGAGTGGTGGTGCCTGATCTCCACCACCAGGCAGCAGTAGAGGCCGCCGTCCAGCAAGGTCAGGTTGCGCATGGTAATGGTGAAGTTGCCGTGATGGTCCGAGGCTGACTCCAGCCCGTGGCTCTGTGCCAGATCTTGACTGGAGTTGGCCTGGTGGCCACTGTGGTGCAGGTGAAGGTCCTGGAATGTGAGGTTACGGATAGGGCGGCGCTCCGAGCAGACCTGCACCTCGCCCCGCGAGCTGCGGTACCAGGTCTTGTAGAAGGTCACTTCGTGCCCTTTGGCCATGGGGCCCAAGAGTCTGCAGGTGAGAGTGACATTCTGCCCCTCGGGACACACGTACAGGGAATATGGCGTGGCGACCTTGAATGCTGTCACCAGACCTGCTCAGAGAGATGAGAACATGTCACCTGCTTGAGACAGCGCCACTCCCAGTGCCCTCTGAGTAGGGAAGAACACTGGCCTAGGGTTTCAAAGATGCAAGTTCACCAGCCACAAGCTCCAGGCAAGTCAGCTGACATCCGCAAGCCTCAGCTTCTTCACTAGCTCACAAACCCGACTCCGTCCCAGCCTGTGTGGGAGGAACCACAGGAACTTCCCCAGGTGAAGCTGGACAAGGTAGAGAGACCCCAGGCAGGCAGTGGACTGGGCCCAGCCAGTATGCGTCCCTCTGCCCGGTGGCTCATGTGCCCTGGACCCAGCTCCCACCCCTCTGCTACAGGCACTGTGGCTCTGCCCTGGCCTGGCCCCTGGCACTTCCAGCCTCCATGCCTGGCACCGTCAGGTGGGAGGCAGGTTGGGGAGTAGAAGGCTGTTTGGGAACAGTGGTCCTTTGCTCTTGACCACCCGTCTAGGGGCCATCAGCACCTCTGGGCCTTCCCATTCCTGGGGCTGGCCGTGCCTCCCCACCTCCTCATCAGTGAGTACTAATGGAGCATCTCCCTGTGTGAAGCCTATGGCAGGTGCTACATCTCACTTGGATGCTGAAGATGTGGCCTCCCCTGGGAGCTTATGACCAGCTGGGCAGACAAGTCCTGCGTCTTGACCAAGTAACCCCAGAGGCTAAAGGGTAAACTGGTGCCAGCCTTCAGGGCACTTGGATTAGAGAGGACATGGCCTTCCTGGGGATGGTCAAGGGACTCTTGAAGGAGGGAGGGTCTTTGAGGTTGATGGATGGACAGGATTCCAGCAAGTAGAGAGGGTGCCCTGAGTAAGGTAATGGGGAAGCAGGAAAACCAAGGTGTCTCAAGGGCAGGGTTGGGGAATGCAGAAAGGTCATCTCATCCAGGCTCCTGCCTGCCACCCAATCTCAGAAATATTTTCTTTTTCATTGTTTTCAATAAGCAAGTGAAGCAATCCCCTCGTTCTCTTTACCCTACCCCAATCTCCCAGCTTTTAACCATGTTGACCCCCAAAAGCACTAGCCCTTAACAGAAAATTCTATCTAGCTGTGAGCCTCAGCTTCCTCTTGTGTGCAATGCAGGAAATATTAGCTACAACACAGGGTTGAGAGAGGATGGAGGAGGGAAAGAGGAGGACACGAGATGTGAGCTCTCATGCCCTCTGCAGACATAGGAGGGATAGCTGTGATGATTAGATATTAGTGGTACTTTAATTTTGATTGGCATCTTAGGGGCTGTTGTGGGCAGACAGGGAAGAATTTGGAAATAGGTACAGGACCCAAATAGGTGTGTCCTTTCCATTGCCATTGCCTGAACCCAAAATAACAAGGTCACTTCCTTCTCCAAATGCTGCTTCACTGCCTTTAGTACCCACCCCCCACCCCAGTTCCCCTGCAGAGCTGAAATCCTGGTTCAGTCAGGAGAGAGGCAGCCTGGTGTAGCTTTGGCATTGACCCAACCTGCACTGGAGCCCGACAGCTGTGCATTACTTAGACTCTGAGCCTTAGACTCCTCACTGTAAAGCACAGAAGGGGAAACATGTCCTGTCAGAGCTGAGACAGAATTACAGATAATTTACGTGGAATGCTCTGAAAGTTGGTCCTTGATACCTGGGAGCTAACTCATTTCTGCAATTCAAGAGATAATTCCTTCTACACAATAGAATGGAGAAGCCAGCTTCAGATTCTTTCCTACTAAGGTGTGAATGACTGACAACAGCTGTAACCCAATCTTGGCATATTGAAAGCAGAGTGCAAGGAGGCAGCAAAGTCATGGCCTGAAAGGATAGTTCCGCAAAGGTGGAGTTTTAAGTCCCAGAAGGCAAGGACAGCAGATACACACCAGAGCCTCCCATTCACTCTACCCACATGCGAGAGGGAGCCATGTTTTGGAGCCCCAGATTTTTGGAAAGTCATTGCTAAGGTGAGCAGAGATTTCAGAACTGCTTTAGCAAGATGCTGATCTCCTTTTCAGGCAAAAATGTAGAAGCCCAGAAAGGGAAAGTGGTTTGCTGAAGTTCCAGAGGGTGTGAACTCAGAACCTGGGGTATAGGGGCTTCAGGTAAAGCAGGATCTAGCTAGAACTAGAAGAAGAAGAAATAGCATGTATTGTGCTATGCTAAGTGCTTTATGGGCATGTCTAACGGCCCTGTAGAGTTGGTGTTATCTTTATTCCTGTTTCGCCAATGAGGAAACTGAGGCACAGAGATGTTAAGAAACTTACAGAAAATCACATAGCAAATAAGTATGAGAGTCAGAATTAAACTGAGGCACTTAGACACTGACTGAAAGAAAAAATTTCAGAAACTGGCAGCATACAGGCCATACCCAGCCTTCAAACATATTTTATTTGACTCTGAAAGTATTTTACATTTTTTTTGTAGATCACCAACATTTAGAAACCAGGAACTTGATATGAAAACTCTGACCTCTAGGTTCTCTTTGAAAATCAAAAGATTAACATTAAACCAACTTTCCTACAAGGCAGTCATCAGCTTAAGCTGAGTAGCAGCCTCCCCTTTAGATGGGGAACTGCCATTCCAGCTTGCCACAGTCCCCACTACTCCCTAGTGTCTCCACCTGGCCTGCTTCACACCCTCACCATAAATGCCCCGTGGACATTTGAGTTTCTGATCCATGACTGTGGCTCCTTGGGCTAACCAGGGAGGAATTCTACTGCCCAAGCCCATTGTCCTACAAATGTGACCCTCAGACTCAGAGAGGAGCTGACCTACCCAAGGTCCCCAGTGGAAGCGTAGCTGTAGAATTATGGCTGTGCCAGTAAATGGAGGTGGGGAGTAGCTACAGAAAGGCTCTTCTGAGGAAGAGCAAAAACCTACCCAAAGAGTAGACCCCGGATTATCTCTGCCCTGCACACCCCCTTTCCTTAGCAGGCCATGTGGCAGCTCCCACCAGCATCTTTCCCAGCTGGTTTTCCCTTTTCCCAAAATCTTCAGTCCCAGAGCTGCCCCCAGGGGTGGGGGCTGAATCCAGATTCAGTAGCATTTGCTCATGCACACACACCTTGGGGGCTATGGGGAGGCTGGCTCAGTAAAAGCTAGGGCCGTAAGTCTGGGGTGGGTGGAGGAGGACAGGCAGAGTTAGAGATGGAGACAGAAGGAAGAAGTGGAGCACAGAGCTGAGTGGGGTGGGGATGCTAAGTGGACAGAGGTGTGGTTGGGGTGGGGCCAAGATGCTGGCAAGATGAAGCTAGCTTGTGGGTGGGGTAGGTGTCGTGAGAACAGGGAGGTGGGGCAGGGTAGGAGCAAGCAGCAGGGCCTCCAGCAAGGCGGCAGGCCCGGAGCCCTCTGGGTCCAAGCAATGGTGTTAACAACCACAGAATGAGGCGATTTTAAGCCCGAGAGGCAATTTACTTGAGGACTCACAGAGAGTTAAGAGTTAGAGGTGGGGAGAAGCATTGCTCAATCCCTAGCACCCCATATGCCCCAGAAGGATCTCTTCCCCTTTTAGAAAAAGGAGAAGCTTCATTGGACTTTAGGTTTGGGTGTGGACGAGAGGGAGTTCAATTTCAGCAAAAAGGCCAGACAAGAGCGGGCCAGGCATCCACAGGGTTTGTCCTGGAGGAGAGAAAACATCTTGTTTGTTGTGTCTGAGACTCCAGCCAGGACAAGGCGTGGAGGCAGCCTGTCCTTAGGGGGACTCTCAAGGGCACGGCCTTAGAGAAAACAGCACACATGCCCCACACCATCCACAACTGCACATGCGCACGTGTGTTATCAGGGCCTATAAATAGCCCATCTGGAATTACAATTCTTCGACAGGAGGATGTTGCTTATTGTCAGGAGCAGATCCTTTTGGACACCTGGGGCATTGTCAGAGAGTAGGGGGAGTGGGTGGGGAGGAAGGCCCCTGGCTCCAGGGTGGCCAAGGGCATGTGGGACAGGAAAATGCCCCCCGCCCTCGGTCTGAGCCTGTGTCCGTATGGGAGCCATGCATCATTGTGCTGTACTTGGGGCCCAGCACCCAACCCCAGCTCCTACCAGCTGCTGGGTAAGGTGGCAGAAGCAGCTGGAGGAAGAATGCTGTGAACCTGGGAAATTCTGGGTCTCAGGATTACTACTTTGGCCTGAGGAGGCAGATCCCCAGGCCCTAGTCCTCACTTAGCCATGCCCTTGCTGTGCACCTCTGGGCAAGTCCCATCCTTCTCTGATCCTCCCTTTCTTCATCCTATCTTGAGAGACTCCCCACATTCCTAGGCCCCCTCCAGCTCTGAAACCCTGTGGCAGGTGAGAAGGATTGTCTTTCCTCAGAGCAGAGGAAGGAGGCAGAAATGAGCCACAAAGGTGATCATGGGCATTTGTGAGCGCTTCTTACGGTTCGGACATGCTGAGCACTTTATACTCACTTCATTTAATCCTCATAACACCCCTGATGTAGGTATTATCATCCCCATATTTTAAAGATTATTTTAAAGAAATAGACTCAAGAGAAGTTAAGCGGTTTGCCCAAGGCCATAAGGCCCCATGCGGCTGAACTGAGGCCCACACCCTGGACATGCCAGCACTGCAGACAGGAAGAGCCCCCCGCCCCCAAGCAGGTGGGGCTGACGCCTCATCCTCCAGCTACTTAGAGAGTGAACTGACCTCCAGTTGACTTCTGCACTTTCCACACAGCCATCCTTACTCTGCCTCAGACCCAAACTGAAAACATCTTTCATTCCATAAATATTTACCAAGGTCCCAACGTGAGCCAGGCCCAAGGCAGAGAGGCCATGGGGGTGCAGAGTTCCTTAAGGAACTTCTGCTCAGAATTTAGTCCTGCTTCTGCCGCTTTCTAGCAGTGGGATCCTCAGCCACAGATGGGCTAAGCCTCTTGTAATAGTTTCTGTTCCAGGGCAGAGGAAAGGAGCTCTTGTTTGGCTTCATCTCAGGATGCAAGTTTTTGTGATCTCTTTCCCTCTAGCAGGCACCTTGTGAAACCCTGTGGGTGTGCATGGGATGGGTGTGTGTGGGTGTGGACAGG